ATTCAAGTCTTTCATTACCATGGTCACATATTTTACATATGAGCTTAAACCATTTTTGAGAAAAGTGTTATCAAGAATTAAAAGGAGAACATCAGGCAAATTTCTATAGTCAGGCTATTTATCTATTGGTTTCCTTTCTCAGGAACCCCTTTTTTATTGTAATGCTCTTTCTTGCCATTTTCTGATGTGTAAAGTTCCCTCTTTGTCTTCTCTCTTGCTCTTCAGGCCTTCCCTCCATTTCAGTTTGTTTTTGTACCCTATACTTTTCTCCCTATCTTTAACTACTCCAGTCTGAACCCAGTGCCAGTGCACTTCCTTATACACGACTATGCCAAGGCACAGTTGTGTCTGTAGTCTTATAGCTTGACATCTGCAGGGTGAAATCATCGCACCCACTTCTGCCTCTCATGGCTGATGTTTTCAAGAGATTTGGAGGGCTTCATGAGATTTGCTTATATTGCTCCTGTGTCGCCCATTTTTCTGAGGATATATAGTGCAAGTATCTCCCTGCTTCCATCACCAGATCAGCAATCATTAGGGGAAGCAAAGCCCTTTTTTTTCTACCAAAAAGTGGCTACCTCCACACACAGTACTAGAAACACGAGATTTCGCTGCACTCCTTACCGGAACGTCCAGGAGACCCGGGCAGACGGGTGGGTGCTTGTAGTTACCGCGGACTGTTGCTAAATTACTCTTATGGTGTGCTGGTGACATTATTTCTCCATTTACCTCCAGACACAGTGCAGAACAAGACATGGTAATTCCGTATTACAGGCAGTAGTCCCTTGCCATTTTTTTGGCCACAGCTTCCATAGGGAAGCTCTTTTTGACCTAATGTAATTGCTTTTTTGCCTTGTTTCAAGACCCTACAGAATATAAAGATTGTGGGAACATATACAATGCCAAGATTAATTTTCATTCTGCAACACAAACATATCACCCAACTGTCCCTTGTGTGGAGGGACTGTCCCTCTTTCCTCCTCAGTTGTTCCTGTTTAATCTGACATACAGATATCTATGAAAAGGTACTTTGTAACTACCAAGAGTATAATTCTGCATTAAAACCTTTATCCAATCCCTTGATTATCTCAACTGGGGGTGTGGCAGAGATGTTTCCATTGCCTAAATACATTGTGGTGGTAGATGCCCCCCTTTCTTGGCTCAGAAACCATGCAAGTATAAAAACAATATATATTTACTTCCATTCGTGAAAAGCTGTATCTATAATATCAAAACCTCTTATCACTAAAAGCATGTTATATTTTTTTTTCCAAAGCGAGTTTTACTGAAAGCCCCATTCCAGTCTTCTACCCACTCCGCATTAATTTCTAAAACTGTGTACATACATTCCAGGTATGTTCAGTTTTGATCATCTTCTTTTCTTTCCTTTCCTTTGGCAGTGACCAGTCCTGAATGCTGCACAGAGTGTGTGAGCACCTTTTTTCTGCAAAAACGTTTTATGAGCTCGAGCTGACTGCATGGCACACCTCCAGGGGGCATGCCTGACTCCTTGAGCTCACAGGAATTGGGTTGAATGATGTGGGATATAATTCAACCTGCAAAGGGAGTGGCGCTGGACTACACAGGAGGATGAAGGGTGCAGTCCTGGAAAAAGAAGAGGGTGTGTGTTGCTTTTTAAACTTTTTTTTCTTTTCA